CATCCCTTTTCATGAAACGCGTTGTGTCTGATAAAAGAAAATATATTAAAAATAAACACAACAAAACTTTAATAAATTAATTATTATTATTATTATTATTAATACTCTATAACTAACTATATATACAAATTAACAAATGAACTGTTAACTAATTTATTACGAAAGAAAGAAATAGAAAAAGATAGAACGAATGAGAGAATACTGAGAATTTCTGGAATAAAAAAAGAAAGAAAAAATACACGGGAGTGGGAATAGGAGTTAAAAAAAAAAAAAAGAAAAAAAGGGTCGAGGCCGCGACGAGTCAAGCTTCCACGCGCTTCCCCTAATTACATTTTCATACGAACCGTTTTCTTCCCTACTCTTTTCTCCCGTTTTATTTTCTTTTTTTTTTATTTTCTATTCTTTTTCTCTTTCCTTTCTCTTTCTCTTTCTTTTTTTTTCCACGTAGCTCCGTGATAGAAACGCATTTTTCCTAAATCCTTTTCCAAGCTGCTGGTGCTGCTGGTGGTAGTGGTGGTGGTGATGGTGGTGGTGGTCTTTCCCCATACACATCGTCGTCGTCGTTTTCCCGTGCTTGCTGTCTCTCGTTTTTATCAAGCTCTCCCCACACCCCACGCCCACGGCCCGCACCCCTCTACCCCTAACCCTTTTCATTTTCTTGTCCTACGAGAAAACCGTTCGATTCGTCTTTTTTCCTTTTTTATATTGTTTTTTTCTTTTTTTCTACCGAGTTTTCGCATGAGAAGAAGAACGTCAGGAGGAAGCAACGAAACCGCCGCTAACCCACCGTTAAACGTTGCAAAAACTCTTCTTTTCACCCCCGTCAAAACCACCACTACCACCACCACCATCATCATCACCATTACTACTACCACTATTATCAAATTTCTCTCGTGTTTTAATCTTCGAACGCGAGTCCCATCATTTTCTTTCATTTCTAATTACGATAAATTGCAATAATAATATAATTCCACTATGCCGATCAAGTTTTAATAATACTACCAAACTATTATTACTATATGTTTCTAAATATAAACATTATTATATTATTATTATAAAAATATAATATTTATATAAAAAATACTAGTAGTATATATATATATATATAATATGATGGTGGTGGTTTAATACGACACTGGCGCGTTATCGCGAGCACTTTTCATTATTTCCCCTCACTACAGAAAGCTCGTTCCTATCTCCCATTGTTCTCCGTGTCTACAACCCGTTTTTGCCGTCAAGAAGAACCCCCCCAGCCTTCCAGCCTTTCGTCAACGCCCACCCCCTCTCCTCTCCTGTTCACCCTATCTTTCTCTTTCTCTCTTTTCCTTCCTCCTCCTCCTCCTCCTCCTCCTCTTCTTCCTACGCTGAACCCTCACCACTATATCTTCTTCATCCAAGATAATCGCTTTAATACGTTTTCACCAGCGCTTCTGCTGCGAAACACAAAAGGAGTGACGATAGTAATAGTAGTAGTTATTGTAATATAACTAGTTTTACTTGTAGTAGTAATAGTAGTAAGAGTATTTGTAATAGTAATGGTAATGGTTGTAGTAGTGGTGATGGTACTGGTGGTAGTGATTATATTGTAGGGGTAGTAATAACAACACTAATAGTAAGAAAGTAATAGATGTAACAGTTGTAGTAGTAGTATAGTAGTTGTAATAAAAATAATTAAAAAGATGATGGCAGTAGTATTAATATCAAAGGTATTTGTTATATTAATAGTAATAATAATGTTAGTAGATCAATTACTGATAGGGATTGCAATGATTGTAGTAATAAATAATAAATAATTTAAAAAATACTAATAGCAATATCAAAGATATATTTGTTAGAGTAATAATAATAATTTTAATAGATCATTACTTTCATTCTCACTCGTGCAAAGTAAAATTTGTAATACTTTGTTTCTATCAGGGCAATGGTTAATAACCCCCATATCACTCTTGAAAGATACTAAGGTACCAAGGTACTAAGGTACTAACGTAGACAGATAAGTAAAGGGCTCGCTATCTGCATATTTAATCCTATTCGCAATGTATATATATATATTTTTTTTGTCGACGAGTTGTTTCCTAAAGTACCGTCGCAAATCTTATCATACACGCAAGAACGATTTTTCTTCTTTCTCCTGATTTATATTGAACGGGAGTGTACGAGAAAGAGAGAAAGAAATATAAAAAAAAGGAAGAGAGAGAGAGAGAGAAGAATAGTTTCATGTTTCTCGTTTAGATATTGCAAAGATCTCGCTAACAGATAATGGTCTTAATTATCGTCGCATCTTGTACACTCGCACACATTTAACAAAATATTTATATATATATATATATATATATATATATATATGTGTGTGTATATGTACTTTTATTCTTCTCACAAAGTAAAGAATATACCCTCACGAATAAAAGAACTCGTAGGTAAGAATAGAAATATGACAGAGAAAAGATAAGAAAAAGTAATAGTTGAAAGAGGATGAGAGAACTATATACAGTAGGGGTGAGAGTGAAGGGTAAGGGGGATGACGATGATGGGGGTTGAAGGAGGAAGGAGAGTAGTAGCAGCAGCAGCAGCAGAGTTCGAAGATCGTTCGATTCCTCTTAGCCTCTCGCGCCGCGCGTTTGTTTACAAAAGATCCGTCAAGAGGTTTGAAGGGAGGAAAGGGTGTCCCTCCCCCGTAGTGTTGTAAGAGAAAAACTCGACTGTGAATAATGTATATATATATATATATGTGTGTGTCTGTGTATGTGTATGCTCGCAAGAGAAAAAGAAAGAGAGAGAGAGAGAGAGAGAGATAGAAAAAAGTAGAAGTAAATAAAAGAACGGTGGTGGAACAGCGAGAAGATGAGAGAAACGAAGAGAAAGAAAGAAAGAAATATATATATATAAAAAGAAGGAGAGAGGGAGAGAGGGTGAGGATGACGCGAACTCGTAGAAGGGAAAAAAAGAGAAATTCGAGGATTCTCGAGGCGAAGAGTCGAGTGGTTGGGCGGTCGAATAATAGAGCTGCCCTTAATACCGTCATCCCCGTTGCGTCGGGTTAAACGAGGGAAGAAGAAGCTGCCGGAGGGGAAGGTTGCTGCTAGTGGTGCCTCTACTGGGCGATATTCTTGAAAATAGTAGTAGTAGTAGTAGTGGTAATAGTAGGATCCCTGCTACTACCAGTAATAGTAACATTGAAGTGCACTAGTAGTAGTAGTAGGTGGTGGTGGTGGTGGTGGTGGTGGTAGATTCGTGCCGAGGAAACCCGAGTTCTTAGTGGAGGGGATACGGAATAGAAGGGATGATAACATTTGTATCATATTTAACGGTAGAACGAGCAGGTTAAGGGGTGGAAGACACCCTCTCTACCTCTTCCTCATCCTCATCCACCTCCTCATCTTCCACCACCAGCGTCGTCCCTCTTTCTTCGTTTCCTTCGACCCTCTCTATTTCTCTTTCTCCCCCTCCCACCCTGCTGGGCACTCTCCTCCATCGGCCGAGTAATACCACTGAAATCAATACCACCACACTTTGCCTTCTATTTACCGAGACTCATCGTCCGTACACAAATTTATTGCTTGTCCCTGCCAGCTCGAACCGACTTTCCTTCCACCCTCCTAACCCCTCCTCCTCCTACCCCTGTACCCCTTGCCCTTTCTCCTTCTTCTTCTTCTTCTTCATCCTCGTTTTCCTCTTCCTCAATTCTATCATCTTCATTCTTCTCCCTTGCTACTAACACCAACCAACAATCTCGCCACCTTCATTCCCTCTTCTTCCCTTTTTCCCCTGAATGACCATATCGCTTCGCAATTTACGATTCCTATACTACCACGAGCTAATCGTTCGTTTTAAACCTCCCAATCCCTTTTCCCTTCGTGTCTCCCAGTATCTATCCACATCATATCAACCCTTTCATTTCTTTCTTTTTTCTTGAATCTTAATCATCATCATCATTATCATCATTATCGTTCCCCGCTCTATTTCTACGCGTTTTCACTTTACACCAATATAAATGAAATATATTATATCGTAATAATTATTCGTAATTGTTGTTTCATTCAATATTTTGTTTTTTCTATTTCGAGATAACTTCTTCTTCTTATTCTTATGATAGTTCCTTTATCCACAAAGTATATAAACGAAAAATAGAAATCATTGGGCAGGATAGATCGAATAATGGTCGTTTGCTTTATCCCAGCTAAAGCTAGCCAGCTAGCTTTTGATTACGAAAGCACTTTCGTACTTGCAAGGCCCCTTGTAAATTCAACGAGTAGCTAGCTAGCTAGCTAGCTTTAGACGCAGCAAACGTAGGACGCATGCATGCAGTTAGGTATTACTACACGACTCTGCATATACAAACTCTGTATATGTGTGTATCTCTTTCTCTGTCACACGGTCTACTATGCTTTACCCATTAACTTAACGCGCAATCAGAACGCGAGATGTACCTTAGAAACGAGTATCGAAATTAATAATGCATTCTACGAAGGAAATGCCACTGTGTGTGTTGTCTCTCTTCTTACCTCCCCTTCCCCACTCCACTACAACCACCCACCCACCTACCTTCCACTCCCACACTTCATCCCCTTTCAACTTAATCTAGGTCGTGTCACTCGCTTAGACGTTTCTCTAACACTTTCGAAGACCCTCTCTCATTCATACATACATCATACACACACACACACATATATATATCACTATGATGGACTTTCTATAATTTTGACATTAATGTATTAATATTAACCCTTTCGTTATTAGGGAATCCCTGATAGGGGAGCCCATATGTAAGAGTAACTTCTATACGAGTTGTCAGGGTTGTATATTACGATCAACAACCCCCATACGAATTGTCAGGCTTGAAAACGCGCCCCATATGGAACGATCGACCCATATAAGGGTCGTTACGATGAAATTTTTCTTTTCGTTTATCCTACCATATAGATTTTCTTTATTATTCTTGTTTTCTTTTTGAAAGAAAAAAAGACTATTGTTTTTTTTTTTTTTCCTTTTTCTGTTTACAGGACAGCGACGGGGAAAAAAGTGATCAAGACTTGGTCGTTGACGTAGCGAACGAGGTACGCGTTCGTATAAATTAATTTTCTTTTTTATTAACAAACAATTTGATTGAACAATTATTCGGCTTTGAAAAATATGAGAGGAATTTTTATAAAATATATGGCAAAACTTGTGAATACAATTGGGTTGTTTTTTTTTTATATATACATCCTTGTAAAATAATTTCCAAAAAAATCTAACGTAAAAAAGATCATAATTGCAAATGATCGATAAGTTTCGATCAATATTTCGATTCTGTTTTGTTTTGTTCTCTTCTTTCTTTTTTCCTTCAAGGAATGAAAATAAAAGTAAGATGTGCACGAGATAGTTGCGATAATAAAAATTGTATAAGTATAAATTAATTTTATTGAAAGAAAATAAAAAAAGGAAAATCTATAGGAAGGATCATCACCGCACGCGAATGGCGAGCATTCGGATCCACGAGAAAATGGTACCCTAGAAAAGCATGGTGCACCGGGCCACATTGGAGGACCAGCATCGGGAGTAGGTTCGACCTCAGTCAAGGACAGACCACCTTCCCGAAGCGGAAGTTCTTCCGCCCGTAGTACGCCGTCTCTGAAAAGTAAAGATGTAAGATCTTGCGGAGAGCAAGCTTATTCGGTGACGATTACAAGGCGAGATTCTACTAAAACAGTAAATCAAATCCACAAAAACATAAAACAAAAGAACAAACTTGCTATTCATCAAACATAAATCCATTAATTTCTTTTTTCTTTCATATAACGTGATAAATTTAATTTAATTAATTACTTGAGAAAATTTCCATTTCCCGGTAGCCATGTTAAATTAATTCGAGCATCGCGTTGGATCGTCACCAAAAATTAAAGAAAGCCGGTGGTTATCTTTTTGCTATATATATATATATATATATATATATATATATACATATAACAAAATAAATATTGAAATTACTTTCAGGATGTTTTATTAACACGTTGTTATACGATTATTCGAAATGAACAATTTCTATTAAACCGTTTCGTTACGAGCGCCAACTATAGTCGACATCCGTGAGACGAATTGTTCGTCTATACGAGTGTCGATTATAATCTGCAATAAGATTATATTTTGCTCATAGAGTTATCTATTAATCTATTATACTAAAAGTATATATTTTGAAGACACGTTAATATATTTTCAAAATACGTCAAAATAAATCGGCAAAGTGTATAATGGAGACACTTTTCATTACTTTCAATTTAAAGTAATTTGAAAAAAAAAACGTGATAACGAAACACAACCTGTGTATAAAATAATAATAATAAAAAAGAAGGAAAAAATGGACTGGAGATAAAAAACATAAAAGTGAAGAGAGAAATATACGCTGGTTTCTTTTTGTTGCATTATGACTATTTGTATATTGACTAAACAGAGGAGAAAAAAAAAAAGAATATCGCGGAACTAACAATATACAGGTCGACAAACCGGGTACACCTGTGGCGGCGGCGAGGGGCTCGCGCAGTTGTACGCCAACTATGGGCGGCATCCCTGGGCCCTTGGCATCGCGGGTCTATCATCCGCCATCGTCGCAGCAAACGCCACCACAGGGTTATCAGGGCTTGCCATCCCGCGGCAATGAGCCGTCGCAGTCGCCCTCGCCCTACAACAACTTGCCCTACGCCAGACCATCCATGGTGACTTTCGATCCCATCAATCTCGTAAATTCATTACTTCCAATCAGTTTATTTGTTCGAAACAAATAATAATTAATATAGAAAGAGAGAGATTGAGATAGATAAATAAATAGAAATAAACAAAAATTCATAGAATCTCGTTGAAATGAAACATAATAATAATATATAACCATCATATAGTTTTAATTGATACTTAATAACGTTGATTATATTTCCAGCTCGGTTTCGACGGTCACGTGAGGATACCCTCGAGTAACGGACTGAACAGCATTCCGGGTGGCAAACCGTACGTAATCCAATTGATTGCTATTCAGATTATTATGAATTTTTGACAAGGGTAATTGTTGGGTAATTGTTTGGATAATTGTTATCAGAGCGTACTCCTTCCATATGAACGGCGAGGGCCAACTGCAACCAGTATCTTTCCCCGCGGAGGCTCTCACTGGGCCAGGTATACCTCGTCACGCGCGTCAGATCAACACATTGACTCACGGTGAGGTCGTATGCGCGGTAACGATCTCCAATCCAACTAAATACGTTTACACCGGTGGGAAAGGGTGCGTCAAAGTCTGGGACATTGGTCAAGGCAGCAACATTAGCGCGAAACCTGTCTCGCAATTGGACTGTTTGCAACGCGACAATTACATCAGGTCAATTGACAATTTATTAAACATAGAAATAATATTATCAATGTGTTTAGGAATTTGTTTATACTGAAAATCTTATGGTTGTTGTTTTCTTTAATCCGTAGGTCTGTCAAATTATTGCCAGACGGTAGAACGTTGATAGTCGGCGGTGAGGCGAGTCAACTGAGCATCTGGGACCTGGCCAGCCCAACGCCGAGGATCAAGGCCGAGTTGACCTCTTCAGCGCCAGCCTGTTACGCTTTGGCCATCTCCCCAGACTCCAAAGTCTGTTTCAGTTGTTGTAGCGACGGTAATATAGCCGTCTGGGATCTACAGAATCAAACGTTGGTCAGACAATTCCAAGGGCACACGGACGGGGCTTCTTGCATAGACATATCGGCAGACGGCTCGAAACTTTGGACAGGGGGACTCGACAATACCGTAAGATCATGGGATCTTAGGGAAGGAAGACAATTACAGCAACACGATTTTACCTCGCAAATATTTTCATTGGGGTATTGTCCAACCGGGGAATGGTTGGCGGTCGGCATGGAAAATTCAAACGTCGAGGTTCTTAACGCTAATAAATTGGACAAATATCAGTTACATCTTCACGAGTCTTGCGTATTATCGTTACGTTTTGCATCGTGCGGCAAGTGGTTCGTTTCAACTGGCAAGGACAACCTCCTCAACGCATGGCGCACCCCTTACGGCGCCTCGATATTTCAAGTTGGTATTCTTTACAATTTTTTTTATTACCTCCTCCCCCTTACAATTTGTACTTTTCTTCTTCTTATCGAACAAATTAACCCTTTTGAGTGCTGATTATTCTTAACTGAAGTGATCAATAGGGAATACTTTATCACTAATGTGTGTTTGTTTTCCTTGTGATTCTAATAATATAATTATATTTAATTAATTCTCAAGTCTTTTTTCTTATGCATAATGTTAACAAATCAACATTACATTACTTTACATTAATATTAACTTTTAGCAAACGCATATATGCGTTTATTGCACCGAAAGGGCTTTTCTTGATCGAACAAGGCATTTATCTATTATCGTATTACCTACCCCATCCCTATTTTTGTTGTTTCTTTATTTTGATATTCCAGTCGAAGGAATCCTCGTCCGTGCTTAGCTGCGACATTTCTGCCGACGACAAATACATTGTTACTGGATCCGGCGACAAGAAGGCCACCGTCTACGAAGTGATTTACTTCTAAGAAAACTTATGTCGTCTCCCGGGCAAGAAGAACCTTAACATTTTGTTCACCCCGTTCGTTAACGCTCGAACTACACCGGTATCATCATCCCCACCGCCGTCCCTTTCTTTTTTTTTCCTTTCTACTACTTTTTACCTATTTCTTTTTTTTCTATCAACAACATCAACCTTTTCCTCTGGAATCCCCAACCAACCCTTGTCACCCTCTTCCACCTTTTCTCTTCATCCTTCTTCTTCTTCTTCTACTACTTTTTCTTCTTCTTCTATTTGTATTCTTTCTCTAATCGAAATAAGGAAGGAAAAACACAACAAGTCGCAAGTGAGAAAGTTTTTAGAAGCCTTAGGAAAAACTAGACTGTTACTATACTGTGTATATATATATAAGAATCTATATTGCGATAGAAATAATGTTTAAAACAACAACAACAATAACAACAACAAAAGAAAGAAAGAAAGAAAGAAAGAAAAAAAAAGAGGAGTTGTACTCTATGGTATATTATGTGATACGAAGTCTCTCTCGGTATGATGATGATGATGATGTGTGTATGTATGGAGATCGAACGTAATTAAAATAAAGATTAATAATAATAATAAACAAAAACGAAAAAAAATAATAAAAATAATAATAATAATAATAAAAAATAAGAAAAAACACACCGTAAAAAAGACCCGTGTGTGTGTGTGCTGCGTGCGTGTGTGTGCTGCGTGCGTGTGTGCGTGCGTGCGTGCGTGACCGCGAAATCCAAATCGTGTGAAAAAGAAGAGTATATATATCTTTATGCAAATGTGTTGTGTGTATGTGTTGTGTGTATGTGTGTGTGATGAATTATTATTATTATTATAACACTTAGAAAATGGACTACTGTCGCGCGTGTACACAACGACGAGAATATTAATAAAACGTGTTAATGAAATATTCTTTTTCCCATCTTTTTCGGTTTTTTTCTTTTCTTTTTTTCTTTGTTTTTGCAAAACGATATCGTGTTTCCCCGTGAAGTTTACAAACCGACAAACAACAAAAAGAAACTCGAATAACATTCTTGCGAATGAAGTTGAATATATGATTTTATATAGAGATACGTAAAATTATTAAGAGAAAGGGAGAATGGAAGAGAGAGAGAGAGAGAGAGAGAGAGAAAGAGATCGATATACACATATATATATATATATATGAAAAAAAAAATATATTATGGAGTATCTCAATTATATTCCGCAAAATTTTACTAACATATTCTATGAGTAATAATAAAATAAAAAATGTAACATATATATAAAAGTGAGCTTTGGAATGTTTGATTTATAAATTGTGTAATAATTAATTAATATAATGAATTAAAAAAAAACATTTAAGAGAGCTTGTATTATTATAACAATATTATCATTATTATTATTATTATTATTATTATACAATATATATTATACAATATATATTATACAATATATATTATATTATATTGTATTATATATTATTTTTCTTTATTTTTTACACATAGTTATATATGTTAGTTAAAATTTAGCTGGGATTAAATATTGGGACACCCTGTATATATCGGTAAGGCCAATTTGAATAAAAAGAATGACGAAACTGTATAATCGTAACGATAAATTTAAATAATTTCCATAGCGCTTTTTTCAGCTGTTAAAAATAAACAAATTTCGTTGTAAAAATCGTTTTTTTTTTTTGTTGTTCTCTTTAATCCGATAATTTTAGTTTCGTGTCAGGGGATTTGCAACGACGTTTTTCTTTTAACCCCCCAACACCACATCTCCAACGCGTGCTTTCTGATATTTTACTTATAATTAAAATAATAAACAAAAGTACATTTTTAATAGATTTTTCCAAAACTAATATGTCAATCGGTTAACGTATTATTTTCTTTATTTGTGAATGATACATGTCATTAGTTTTATTCATCAGTATATTTGATCATCAAAAGGAATCATAGATCGAGATATATATAGATGATTTCGTGATTTAATATTTATTTTTTTAATTAGTTTTATTCAAGACGCGACTTATTTATCTCATACGAAATATATGAAACAAACAGTTGCTATCATCCCGATCATAGATATATATACACATATATATATACGAATTCACAAAAAATTCGAATAAACACTTGAAAGAAATCGAGACTTCTCGTCATACGCGAACGATATTTCTTTTAATTATTTTTTCATCTATAAAATAATCGTAAGTTCGTTTATTAATATACGATACCGATCGATAATCAATTGGAATCGTTATATCAATATATTATCTCGTTATTTACCACATTAGTTCGAAACCAAAATTTTCTCTGACCCAATGAAGACGACAAATATTTGTTTTCTTCTTTTATTTTTGTAATCTATTATTTTTCTCGCGTCATTTGAAATTAATTCATTTAGATATATATATATATATCTATATTATTACTCAAATATTCGAATTTATTTTACGTATATAAAATAATAGATAAAAATAAATACTCTCTCTCTCTCCCTCTTTTCTCCAAACAAACCACGCGTTAAAATCTCCACTCACGAAAGTGCAGAAAGACTTTTAATTGGATTTTAATCGTATCCCTTACGCGGTTCCTGCTTTTATAATCATGCATACGAACACACAGGACACATAAGTCAAGACAAGACAACATAACACACTAATACGAAGATACATACATAAAATCATTCATTGGTATGTGATAGATGCATTTTATGTATGTGTATGCAACCGTATATTATTTACTTATGCAGTTTATACATGCTGGACTACAAAACAAACGAATTTGTATAATACGATGCGAGTACGTGTGTGCAATCGTGCGTATGTGTATGTGTATGTGTGAGAATAAGGTAGGAGAAGAAATAAAAAAAGGTAAAGAGATGTCGGGAGTGGGGGAGAGAGGTGTATTAATCGGCTCAGTGCGTGTGAGTGTATATGTGTGTGATACAAACTCATACGTTTTAAAACGTGAATGAGTGATAAATCTCTTTGTACAAAATTGCGTATAAAATACCAACAACTTCGATGATTATGATAATGATGATGATGATAATGATGATGACAATGACGATTATGATTATGATGATGATAATGATTATGATAATGAATAATGAATAATGATGATGATAATGATAATGATAATTGATGATTGATGATCGTTACTGATAAATGCAAGAAACAACTTCTCTACAAAAGAGAAAGAAACAACAACAAAAAAAACCAACCATTGTAAAACTTTGTATTTGTGCGATCCACATCTTGATAATTAAAAAAGATATATATGATGAAGATGATGAGAAGATAAAAACAGAAAAAAAGAGAATTATGTATGGAAAGAAAAAACAAGTATTAACAAAATCAACAACAAGAACAAGAACAACACACGTTTTACTATGAGAACCGTAAAAAAGATTTCAATTCTTAATCTTTTATTCTTCTTATTCTTCTTCTTTTTCTTGTTCTTACCACCGTGTCCCCCTAGCAATAATAATAATAATAATAATAATAATAATAATGATGATGATGATGATGATGATGACGTGTGATACGATTGATGCAAACGCATTTATTTCATATTTTTATTTCAAATTGCATATCGTCTCGACGTGAGTTTTTTAATCTAATACTTTTCTTCAAATCCAAATCTAACAACTCTTACAATCCGGATATTTCATGAAAACACCAATCACAAAACCAGGTGATTACGATTCGATTTTACCACCGGACCCCTTATACGTTTATATTTTTTCTTTTTTTATTTATATATTTTTTTATGTATATATTGATGGTATTCCTTTGGGTTTTTTTCTTTTTCTTTTGTTTTTTTTTATGTTCCGACAACCGTGCACATCCGACAGTAAGTAAATTATTTATTCATTTTTCAATCGAGTTTTTCACTCAAGGTCACGATACTATATAACACAGGAATTTGTAAGTAGTTAAGCGATAATTTATTTTTTACGTAACGCATACACACACACACACAGACATATATATATATATACATATATATATATATATATTAAATTTACGTGTGTATATACGTGTATGCACTTATAAGAAGAAAAACGTTATTTATAAACTATGAGAGATACAAAATAATTCATAAATTCTCAATAAACGCATTTGTTTTTTCTATATATTATACCTTTTCTTTTTTTCTTTTTCTTTTTTTTATATATATATACCTAGAATGGTAATAAATCAAAATCGTGGAAGAAAAAGACTTTTGATTGATTAATTAATTAATTAATTAATTAATTACAAACTACTTTTGGGAATAAAGAAGAATCGTTAGAATAGTAACGTGATATTTTAGATCATTTTCGATGTATTTACATTTACGTGTAATTTCGTGTGTACAAGATCGTTAAAAACATTAAATGTTTATGCTCGCGGTATGATACTCTCTATTCAATATGTATTTACACGTGTATTGATGTGTACAAGATCGTTAAAAACATTAAATGTTTACAAGGTTTGTTTTGCATATTGCCACGTTGATGTAGAATTTTCTTTCTCTCTTTCTCTCTCATTATTAACACACTCATTCTAAGTTCCTTCTTTCTCATTTTATCTTTTTCATTTATACATTAAACGCACTATATATTTTCTTTTTCTTTTCGTTCTTTCCTTTCTTTTTTATTCCTTACACTCTCAACACATACATACATACATACATACATACATACATACACAAAACATACACATCACACATGCTGCATAAATGCATATGCATGCATAAATTCAATCATAGAATCGTTTTATCGTCTCTGTTTCTTTCTTTCTTTTCTATTATTTCTTTTTCTTTTACTTTTTTTGTTAAATATTTCTCATATAATATCATTTTCAATCATTATATACAAATAAAAAAGTTCGTAATAACACGTTGGACAACCATAATCCCTCCCTCCCTCTCACCCTCACGTTTCGACATATTTATAAAGTATATACTCACACCGTTTTTACAAAAAAAAGAAAAAAAACGGATGATATACAAATTTTATTCTTTTTTTTTTCGTTCTTTCTTCTTCTCTTCCTCCTTCCTTTTTCTTTCATTCTTAATTTTTGCCAATTTAATCGTTATTTATTATCGTTATTATCATTATCATTATTATTATTATTATTATTAATATTATTGTTAATATTATTATTATACTTTGTTCAAAAGAGACATTCAGTCGATTAATTCCCCAGACGTTTCAATTTTTATGCTCGACGCATCCAACGCGTACAAAACATGCACTTTAAAACTTACACGCGACACACATTCTGCTGACAGTCGTACATCACACATACACACACAGAATTATATTTTTATATATACGAATATACGCGTGCGCGCACGTATAACTCATGATGGCTTTGAAAAAGAAAAAGAAAAAGAAAAAGAAAAAGAAAAAGAAAAAGAAAAGGGGAAAAAAGATAAAGAGAAAAGAAAAAGAGAAAGAAGAAAAAAAGAAAAAGAAGAAAAAAGAAAGAAAGAAAGAAAAAGGGGTTATCGTACACGAAGAGAAAGACTCGAAGTTTCTTCATGAAAATGTAAGTTCTTTCATGCATTATTTACCATGGCCCCACCTCGATGTGTGTGTATGTATGTATATATATATATGTATGCATGTGTGTATTGTATAGTTATATATATATGGTGTGTATGTTGGTGGTTGTGTGTATATCCTGACTATTACATTTTAACGTCTCCGTTTCTCACGCTCGTGTATACACAATCTCACGTACCACATACACACATGTACACGAGCTTTACATATAACAAATGTATACTAGAGAAATACTTTTCACACAATGCATTCCTCTAACACCATTCACACATATATATTCACATACACATATATGTTCAAACCCGTTGTATGTACAAACTAGAAAATACATAACGCAGCTCTACTTCCTTTTACAGCGATCGATTTTACAGGAAATGTACATTACAGAGCGACGACTGAAGGAACGAACGAATGAACGAACGAACGTACGAACGATTCAGACGACGACGCTTTTATAATCTTTTTTTCTTTTTTTTCTCTTATCTTTTACGACGACGACGACGTCGGCTTACTTAAACTTTACAACACACATTTGTTGAGAGACGCCGTAACTTGGTTTTTTAAAAACTCTTTGGAAGGTGTTGGTTTGTTTGTTTGTTTGTTTAGCAAGCCCAGATGTATACATGTGTATGGTACAAGTTTTACAATAATACAAATTCCCATCTTTGATAAATCAAAGTTTCTTTTCTTTTCTTTTCTACCAACAACTTTGTATTAAACTTTTGTACAAATATTAATCGAATTATTAATCGAACGATTAATTTAATCGTTGAGAAAGAAATAGATATTTGTTCTAATTCCCACATAATTACTTATCGTTTATAAGTAATTTTACATATTATGTTTCATTTGATTCGCAAATGGTTGAATTTGTAATTTAAAAAACTTGTAATATAAAGTTAGGGACAAAAGTATTCGTACAGTATTAGTAAATAATATGGAAATATTTGTTTAATATTTATATATATAATATAATAATTACTTCATAAATATTTTAACAATTATTATTACAAAATTTAATAATAATTGTTATAATATTATTACTATACTATTACTACTACTACTACTACTATAAAAATACTTTTCTCCCTGTGACTGTATAAATAATAATATATTTGTATACTCGAACGCGTATAAAGTGAATTCTCCACCATTTTATCCTCAATTATTTTTTAATATTTCACATTTGTCTTGTTTTTTCTTTTCTTTCTTTCTTTCA